ACTTACTTACTTACTTACTTACTTACTTACTTACTTACTTACTTACTTACTTACTTACTTAACTCTGATAATGCTGCTAACACTGTTTACTCTGCTAATGCTGCTAATGCTTCCCTACAAGACATTAAACTCACAGTAGCAGCCGGTGTCTGTGCTTCAAACTGCTGGATCACAGCTATCATCCATGTTGTTTTCAGTGAACATATTTTAAATTTAGATTCTTCCACAGGGTTAGCAGCATTAGCAGTGTTAGCAGCATTAAAAGGGTTAGCAGCATTAGCAGTGTTAGCAGCTTTAGCATTTCATTTTGTCCCAGGATGATTACATCACAAAGGCCACACACCAGCAACACAGGCTGTGTCCCATCCTGAAATATTTAAATAAAAACTTTTTTATTTAGCTTCAGCACTTCATATTTAACTTTCACATTTAGATTTATAAATTTAGTATTTAATATTTACATATATTTTTCAACATTTAGATTTGACATTTAGTAAAAATTTGCTAAAAGTAAGAACAGAGAGCTAAATAATGAGTAGAGGAGGTAGTTACATAAAGTTCCCATTATGTTAGAAATTTATAAATGAGTTCAACTCTAATCATTAAAGATTTGAGTGTGTTCAGTCTGAAGGATGTATATCTGAGAAAATGTCAAATGTAAATCCAATATGTCCAAAAACCTGAACATACCTGGACACACCAGGACACCAACATCTAAAGGTTCAATGTGCACCAGAGGAACACGATTAACATCCATCCATCCATCCATCCATCCATCCATCCAAGATCCATCCATCCATCCAACATCCATTCAGCCAAGATCCATCCATCCATCCATCAAACATCCATCCATCCATCCATCCAACATCCATTCATCAACCATCCAACATCCATCTATCCATCAACCATCCATTCATCCATCCATCCATCATCCATCCAACCATCCAAAATCCATCCATCCATCAACCATACATTCATCCATCCATCCATCCATCCATCTATCAACCATCCAAGATCCATCCATCCATCAATCATCCATCCATCCATCAACCATCCAACATCCATCCATCTATCAACCATCCATCCATCATCCATCGAACCACCCATACACCCATCAACCATCCATCCATCCATCCATCCATCCATCCATCCATACACCTATCAACCATCAATCAACCATCCATCAACCATCCAAGATCCATCCATCAATCATCCATCCATCCATCCATCAACCATCCAACATCCATCCATCAACCATCCATCTATCCATCCAACCATCCATCAACCATCCATCCATCCATCCATCCATCCAACATCCATCCATCAACCATCCAACATCCATCCATCTATGCATCAAATCCATCCATCCATCCACCAACCATGCATCAAACATCCTTTTGTCCAAGATCCTTCCATCAACCATCTATCCATCCATGGTTCTGGGGTCTTGGTACAGTTTTAGCTCCTGAAGTGAACTTGAAGTTAAATATTAAATAATTAAGCGACCCAGAAAGGTGTTCTAAGTTGGATCTCCAGCTTCAGACTCAGATTACTGAAGATCCAGTTCTACAGTCATTTAATGGGAACTCAAAGTTTCAGAATATACAGTCTCATCTGGAAAACGTAGGCTTCTTGCAATCATAAATATTACCATTTAATACATATTCATAAACATTTTCACAGCACAACATCTTCTAACAGGGTTACAGATTATCCCTTTATTCTTCTGACAAAATGATGAGAAACCACGAAATAAATCACCTCAGTTCTCTGGAGACGTGAACACCACTCATTTAAAGCTGATAAAAATGTTTCTGTCCACAAACAAATCAGAAAATGTTCAGATGGTACGAGTCCTTCTAAAACCAAACATGTTCAAATAAAAACAGATAAAAACTCAGGAAGACTTAAAGAAAAACAACTTTTTGGGTTCATGGGCTGAAAATCTGAGAGTCGATGAATTTAGATTGTGTTTTCTCCGAATAAAATGAAAAAATGGATTCCAGTAAAACTATCAAATACTTTAAGTGTTGAATGAAGTTCAGGTTGGAAATGTTGAAAGAAAATAGTCAAAGATGTTCTGATGAGGTTCTGAAGATGTTCTGACTGAGGTTAAATTGACTGAAAGTTTAACTGTTGATGTAGAAATAAAGAGTTTAGGAGGAATGATGTAAATCATCTTCAGACTCTGTTCAACAAACAGAAATTAAATCAGTACAGAACCGTTGACGGGTCTGAGGTTCTGCCCTCCTGACCCGGCTCATCAGCTGAGCTGCTTCATGCTGCTGCATGCTGAGGAGAAGCTGAGGTCATCACAGTCCTGGCCCTGGTCCTGGTCCCGGTCCTCTCTTCTCAGGTAAAATAAAAATACGTAAACAGGATCCTGCTGGGTCTGTTCTTCAGTTCTGGTGATGAACCTGAGCTCGGAGCACAGAAGGTTCCAGCAGCCAGCGAGCAGGGATGAAGCACCTGTGAAGCTGAGGGAGGAGGGTTCCTGATGGACACCCAGAGTCCAGGTTCTCCAGATCCTGCTCTGGTCCAGGTCTGTTCTTATGGACTCTGCACCTCCATGTTGTCAATTAAATTCTCTTTTTTTGTGAACTGCAGCTGTCTGATGGACCTCCACACTCCCACAAAGCTGTCACTGACTGACGGAGCGGGGGAGGAGGAGGAGGAGGTCTCCTTGTGGAGGTGCTCCCTCTGCATCTCCAGTGCCTCCTTTTCACTCATCACCCCAGACTTCAGTCCTTCAGCGCCTCCCACCCACGCCTCTCCGTTAGCTAAATGAGGCGTCATTCCCTCCAGCATGCCCCCGCTCGCTTCTCCTGTGGGTTCCCCTGGATCAGGTCCGGTGTTTGGGCCGGCGCCGTCCAGCGGGGGCTTCTCTCTGTAAGGGTCTTCAGGCAGCGAGCCGTCCTTCTCCAGGTCCTCGTACGAACTCTTCCTCTTGGTCTCGAAGTACTTGACCACGCAGTAGGTGACGGAGCCCACCGTGTTGACCACCACGCCGCCGATGAAGAGGCGGGTCGGCGACACGTCCTTGAAGGCCAGCATGCCCACCGTGATGGTGGCGATGCTCTTGACCACGCCCACGAAGCTGGTGGTGACGGCGGAGTTGATGTAGGTGCAGTGGAGCGTGGTGAAGTTCATGGCGCAGCCGATGAAGATGCAGAGGATGAAGATGACGGTGATCTGAGGCTCCTTCCAGCCTTCGTAGGACCACATGTTGAGGGCGTCCATGGAGATGACGGAGCAGACCAGCAGGACCTGAGACCCACAAGGCAAACTAGCAGGTTTAAAGCTGCAAACAAACAAACAAACAAACAAACAAACAAACAAACAAACAAACAGCTGACAGAAACAGATGATCTCATAATGAACTCATTAAAGGGATCCCCGATTAGTTGTAACGTTAGACTTTATTTGATAAACATATATTTTAACTGTAAAATAAAGACTGTAAAAATACTGTAGGATGTTCAGTTTTTATCATTTTTAAACTAAAAGTTTAAAAATATATTACACGGACGAGGCCATTTTTTTAAAATGCAAAGCATTCTGGGTAAATGATGATGTCAATTAGGTCCTCGGCGCGAAGCTGCTAGTGAGCTATATCCACCCTGAAGGTTAATCTTGGACAATATCTGATGATCGACTCTTTTAAATGAAACCAGAGAGCGTTGACAGAGAGGAGAAG